CACAAAGCCCTGACCTCAATCCTATAGAAAATGTGTGGGCAGAACTGAAAAAGCGTGTGCGAGCAAGGAGGCCTACAAACCTGACTCAGTTACATTAACTCTGTCAGAAGGAATGGGCCAAAATTCACCCAATTTATTGTGGGAAGCTTGTGGAAGGCTACCCGAAATGTTTGACCCAAGTTAAACAATTTAAAGGCAATGCTACCAAATACTAATTGAGTGTATGTAAACTTCTGACCCACTGGGAATGTGATGAAATAAATAAAAGCTGAAATAAATCATTCTCTCTACTATTATTCTGACATTTCACATTCTTAAAATAAAGTGGTGATCCTAACTGACCTAAAATAGGGAAGTTTTACTAGGATTAAATGTCAGGAATTGTGAAAAACTGAGTTTAAATGTATTTGGCTAAGGTGTATGTAAACTTCAGACTTCAACTGTACCTTTTGACCTGTTGCCAAGGAGGCCCTCGACATAAGAAGACTGGAGGCCACTGTTGATTAACATTGTTTAACATTGTTTATCAAATGTTTTTCTGTGTTGTCTTATGTGACCTCTGTTAGCAGATGATTGATAATGGCTTGTAATTGGTTGTCTCTTCAATGTTACATGGTGGAGAAATGTGGCTGCAACAAAAAATAGGATCTGAAGATGGTTAAGTCAAAGCTGAATGAAGACCAGGCCTAAATATATATATATATATATATTTTTTTTTAAATGTATAAATATAATTTAATATGTAAATAATTGAATAACAAAAAATGCTATTAAATTTGTATAAGCTTATTATTTATTGTTTGATGATATAACTACAGTTAGAAACTTGAGGAAATAACATGTGCACTAGTCTAGTAGTGACACAGTAGTGAAACAAGAAGTCAATAATGATTTTGAATAGGCAAACAGTAGTAAATGTGTCAGTGGTCAATAGTAATTCAAAAGGGTTTATGTAGGAAATGAAAAGGATCAGGAGCAATTCAGTAGTGACACAACACTACACACACAAATGGCAGTAATAATTCAATAGGGATTGAGTAGGCATACAGCACTAAATCTGTAGGCATTACGTAGTAATTCAATAGTGAACATGTAGGAATTGTCTAGGTATGTGTAGGCTTTAAGTAGTAGTTACCCAAAAGCTCAGTAGTTAGTCATTAAGGGAGAATTATGTAGTGATTTGAATAGGAAATATGTAGTGTTCACCAGTAGTGAAATTTCCCAATGTATCACTCATTACTACTTAAACTACTACTGGTTTACTACACATCTCAATAGCAATCAAGTAGTAAAACCAGTAGGTTTTGTGTAGATCTTGTGTAGTAGTAATTCAATAGTACTTTTTCATGAGGGGTTTCCTCTTAAGTCTACATAAACCTGAACTTCAAGCATTCATTTAGTAACACTGAAGAAGGCACTGTGTGCCCAAAGTTGTTTCATAGGAGCAGATAGTGTGCTATAGGCTATTATTTTTTCAAGCTCAAATGGCCAGAAAATGTCATCCTGGACCTGGACTCTTGTTCTACAGAATAGGCCTATCACATTTCTACAACTTTGTCTGTGTTACTTCCTTCAATAAGCCCAAAATAAGAACAAAGCTGGGTAGTAGAGACTTGCATGGGCTACAATGGAACTTTTGTAGGACTGGTGGTTGAACGCACTATAGTGTCACTGTGCCAATAATATTATGCGTTTGCGTGTCCCCCACGCCCGAGCGCGCTTTCATCCTCCTATCTGGGACAGGATAATCTTTTGTGAGCGCCTAAGAGTCCAGCCAAGGTCACCCTTGAAACAAGCTTCATTGCAATAAAAAGGGGACACTTTCCGCAGTCAAAGCATCTTTAGATACAGTGGGGAGAACAAGTGTTTGATACACTGCCGATTTTGCAGGTTTTCCTACTTACAAAGCATGTAGAGGTCTGTAATTTTTTATCATATGTACACTTCAACTGTGAGAGACGGAATCTAAAACAAAAATCCAGAAAATCACATTGTATGATTTTTAAGTAATTAATTTGCATTTTATTGCATGACATAAGTATTTGATCACCTACCAACCAGTAAGAATTCCGGCTCTCACAGACCTGTTAGTTTTTCTTTAAGAAGCCCTCATGTTCACCACTCATTACCTGTATTAACTGCACCTGTTTGAACTCGTTACCTGTATAAAAGACACCTGTCCACACACTCAATCAAACAGACTCCAACCTCTCCACAATGGCCAAGACCAGAGAGCTGTGTAAGGACATCAGGGATAAAATTGTAGACCTGCACAAGGCTGGGATGGGCTACAGGACAATAGGCAAGCAGCTTGGTGAGAAGGCAACAACTGGAAGAAAATGGAAGATGTTCAAGATGACGGTCAATCAGCCTCGGTCTGGGGCTCCATGCAAGATCTCACCTCGTGGGGCATCAATGATCATGAGGAAGGTGAGGGATCAGCCCAGAACTACACAGCAGGACCTGGTCAATGACCTGAAGAGAGCTGGGACCACAGTCTCAAAGAAACCCATTAGTAACACACTACGCCGTCATGGATTAAAATCCTGCAGCGCACGCAAGGTCCCCCTGCTCAAACCAGCGCATGTCCAGGCCCGTCTGAAGTTTGCCAATGACCATCTGGATGATCCAGAGGAGGAATGGGAGAAGGTCATGTGGTCTGATGAGACAAAAATATAGCTTTTTGGTCTAAACTCCACTCGCCGTGTTTGGAGGAAGAAGAAGGATGAGTACAACCCCAAGAACACCATCCCAACCGTGAAGCATGGAGGTGGAAACATCATTCTTTGGGGATGCTTTTCTGCAAAGGGGACAGGACGACTGCACCGTATTGAGGTGAGGATGGATGGGGCCATGTATCGCGAGATCTTGGCCAACAACCTCCTTCCCTCAGTAAGAGCATTGAAGATGGGTTGTGGCTGGGTCTTCCAGCATGACAACGACCCGAAACACACAGCCAGGGCAACTAAGGAGTGGCTCCGTAAGAAGTATCTCAAGGTCCTGGAGTGGCCTAGCCAGTCTCCAGACCTGAACCCAATAGAAAATCTTTGGAGGGAGCTGAAAGTCCGTATTGCCCAGCAACAGCCTCGAAACCTGAAGGATCTGGAGAAGGTCTGTATGGAGGAATGGGCCAAAATCCCTGCTGCAGTGTGTGCAAACCTGGTCAAGACCTACAGGAAATGTATGATCTCTGTAATTGCAAACAAAGGTTTCTGTACCAAATATTAAGTTATGCTTTTCTGATGTATCAAATACTTATGTCATGCAATAAAATGCAAATGAATTACTTAAAAATCAGACAATGTGATTTTCTGGATTTTTGTTTTAGATTCCGTCTCTCACAGTTGAAGTGTACCTATGATAAAAATTACAGACCTCTACATGCTTTGTGAGTAGGAAAACCTGCAAAATCGGCAGTGTATCAAATACTTGTTCTCCCCACTGTAGGTTGTGACTAGAGGGAGTACAGCTATGAGCTCAGTCAGAACCCTTTAGATAGGACTCGGCTCTCTTTTAGAAATGTGCCACTAGCTCGCAGAGGTGGGACTAGTGGTCATGAACAGAGGTTGGACAGTGTGTGAGTGTGTGAATGAGTGACCTGTTGTACTCACTAACTGTAAGTCGCTCTGGATGAGAGCGTCTGCTAAATGACTAAAATGTAAAATGTAAGCACAAACACCATTGTAAATACAACTCATATTTATGTTTGTTTATTTTCCATTTTGTACTTTAACTATTTGCAGATCGTTACAACACTGTATATAGGCATAATATGACATCTGTAATGTCTCTATTCCTTTGGAACTTTTGTGAGTGTAATGTTTACTGTAAATTTTCTATTTATTTCACTTTTGTTTATTATCTATTTCACTTGCTTTGGCAATGTAAACATATGTTTCCCATGCCAATAAAGCCCTTTGAACGAACGAGCGAGAGAGACAGAGACAGAGACAGAGACAGAGACAGAGACAGAGACAGAGACAGAGACAGAGACAGAGACAGAGACAGAGACAGAGACAGAGACAGAGACAGAGAGAGAGAGAGAGAGAGAGAGAGAGAGAGAGTGTTGTTGGCATCATGTGGCCGAGAGCACGAGTGTTCTTGATGAAGCAAGCAATAAACAGCATCACCATCACCAACATTCCTTATAGTCAGTGGTGTAAAGTACTGAAGTAAACATACTTTAAAGTACAAGTTAAGTAGTTTTTTGAGGTATCTGTACTTTACTTTGCTATTTATATTTTTGACAACCATTACTTCACTACATTCCTAAAGAAAATGATGTACCTTTTACTCCATACATTTTACCCCTTACATATAGGAAAATAGTCAAATTCACGCACTTATCAAGAGGTCATCCCTACTGCCTCTGATCTGCCAGACTCACTAAACACAAATGCTTTGTTTGTAAATTATGTCTGAGTGTTGGAGTGTGCCCCTGGCTATCTGTAAAAAACAAAAAAACAAATATTTGTGCTGTCTGGTTTGCTTAATATAAGGAATTTGAAATGATTTATACTTGTACGTTTGATACTTAAGTATATTTCAGCAATTCCATTTACTTTTGATACTTAAGTATATTTAAAACCAAATACTTTTAGACTTTTACTCAAGTAGTATTTTACTGGGTGACTTTCACTTGAGTTATTTTTTATTAAGGTATCTTTACTTTTACTCAAGTATGACAATTTAGTACTTTTTCAACAAACGCTTTTAGTCCCGACACCAGCCCAGACTAATAAAGTGATGAAGACATTGCAAACATTACTGTAGGCTACATGGACTATGAAAGAACATCGCCATCAAGCGGACACTGGACCACATTGCCATGCCAAGATTCGAAACTCCAGCGATATTCTGACTGGCTGCTTTTTTTTGCGTCATTTCCTTCATATGACTTTCCCCGGGAATGAGCTTTGGCGCGGAATCTTCTATTGTGGTGAACTGTGTAGCTACCAAGAAAGAGCTGAAGGTTATCAATACATTTTGAATAAATAGCAATGTCTCCAGTTTCTAAGCCAGAGAAGGACGTGGATAACCCGGACGGGGGTGAGTCTGAACGGAAAGGTACTGCAAACAAGCAAGTTAGCTAGACAAGCGTGAACACGCAGACACGGCTTAGCCAACAAGCTGTCAGCCTACGTTACTGTTAACTAGCGCGCGCTAACAACAAAGCAAGCAACTACTAGAATGACTAAATGTAGGTAGCTACGTGCCATTACATTAACACCGAATGTTCATAAATTGCATAATTACCCACAGTTAGCTGGCCATTTAGCTACTGTGATGTTAACATTCTATAATTTAAGACGTACAGTTACTCCGCCGGTACTTTGGCGACTCAGAAATTATTTTTTAAACCTCCCGCTTTGGGCTGAATGTGTAGTTCATACATGCATAAGACATGAACAGAATTACTGTTTTATCTCGATTAGCCACGAAATCCCTATTTTGAAAGTAACTTTTCTCGAAGCTGTGCTGGGCGCCATTTTCTCTTAATCCCCCCCCCCCAGCCTCCTAGCAATTCGAGTTGTAGCCAATGAGCTTCAGCCCCTCGCATTTGACATCTAGCAAGAGGCCTGCCCAGCGTAATCCAATGAGGATGCAGGGCGGGCCCAACACCTCAGTGGAAACAGCAGAGAGGAAGAGAGAGAGCGATGATGTGTTGCACATACTGTATCTGCAAATATGTGTAGGACACCATTTTCAGGAATCACTTATGGCTCCTGAGTGCTACATTCTACTGGCAAAAAATTATACAAAAGTATCAGAGAATCTCATTAAAAGCTGTCTGTCACATGCCTGTAGGAGATCAATGGGAACAACTGGGTTTTGAACTCTCTACTTTCTCTCCCTCTCTTCCCCTCTCTCTCTTCCGCTCCCTCCATCTCAATCTCACCCCTCTCTCCATCTCGCTCTCACCCCTCACTCTTTCCCACTCTCTCTTCTTTTCTCTCTCTCCAGAGGATGACTGTGGCCTGGCAGTGGGTCGTTCCAGGAGGGAGAAGAAGGAGAAGACAGGGAGGAAGTCAGCTCTGGAGCAACTCAAGAGAGCTAAGAAGGGAGAGAAGGTCAAATACGAGGTGAGAGAGTTGTGTTTGTTGTCCATGTCCTGATCTGACAGGTGTGTTTGTGTCCGCCCCTTTTAATCTGTGTGTAAGTTATAGTGTGGGTGTTATAGCCAAGCCTTGTTTTGAAGTGTGTGTTGAATCTGTGTGTGCTGTGTGTAGGTGGAGGATTTGACTAGTGTGTATGAGGAGGTGGACGAGGAGCAGTACTCTCGGATGGTGAGAGAGAGGCAGGACGATGACTGGATCATTGATGATGGTGAGTTGGTCTGAAATACTTTCAGACCCTTTCTGCTTCTCAGTCCCAAGTTATAGCAAGCTCTCTCTCTCTCTCTCAGATGGCACAGGATATGTGGAGGATGGGAGAGAAATCTTTGATGAGGATTTGGCAGATGATGTGTTGGAGAAAGGCGCCAAAGGTAGGAACCCTGTGTGTGTGTGAGAAAGTAAGCCTGTGTGTCTCCCCAGCCTATTTATCGTTTGTTTGTATGTGTGTAGGTAAAGCGGGCGCTAAGGGAGCAGACTCTAAGAAGAACATTAAGAAGGCAGCGGTGGCCAAACCCAACAGTATCAAAAACCTCTTCATGAACAGCAACGTCAAGAAACCTGCTGAGGTGAGTGTTTGTATTTGTGCACCTGTTTATCACAAATCCCTTCCCTTCGTGTGTTTCTCAGCCTCTGTGACCCTATACATGCAATCCAAAACACTACATAGTGTGTGTTTGTTCTAGTCCATTTAATGTCTCTATTTTGTAGTTGAACCAGGATTGTGTGTTTTGTGTCTCACAGAAAGATGTGGACCTGTCCAAAGACGACCTACTGGGGGACATTCTACAGGACCTGCACTCTGAGGTCAGTCTCTCCTGTCCTGTCAACCTCCATACCTTCTCACAGCGGGGAAAAACAGTGCATGTCGACTCACTCAAACATGAAGTTTACTCAGCTAGTGGTACAACAACGCTTCAGCTATAATGTTTTTTGTCAGGTTGCTTTGTATGGTTTAGTCCAGCTCCTGTAATTCCCCTCTCTTAAACGAAGTTCAGCTAGATCATTTGGTAGATGCTTAGATTTCAGCTTGTTTGATTCTTTTTCACTGAGACATGGACTCACTGGGGGAGAATACACTATCAGTATGTCTGAGAGTCTCCATCTGCCACCTCTTTCAGAGGCCGTCTCTCCTGACTCCTCCGGTCGTCACGCTGAAGAAGAAGAAGGCCCCCGGAACTCCCATGAACCCCTTCTCCATCAAAACCCAAACCCCTAAGGTACACTTATTCTCTTTCTCTCTCTCTCTCTCCATTGATCCCTGCCCCCTCTTATATTCCATTAAGGTCTAACGTTACTGAGTACACCCCTGGTCTTCTTCCTGTTGTAATGTGTCCCTTCCCTCCATCGCAGGAGTCTCCCTCTGCCCAGGGGACAAAGGTGAAACGCCCTCCTCCTGGTGAGCTGACTCCCCGGGTGCCGTCCCGCCCCCCGACCTCCAGACCCTCCGTCCTCGTGGAGAAGAAGAGAGTGAAGGTGGAAGAAATTGAGGAGGAGGGTAAGAGATCAGACTAGGAGTTAATCTAGCACTCGCTGGGCCAGTTTCCTGGACCCAGATTAAGCCTAGTTCTAGACTAAAAATATAAATTTAAAGTACTTTTTAGTCTAGGACTAGGCTTAAAGGGGCAATCAGTAGTTGACACAATGATAAAGCGGTTTCACATTTTTACATTTTAGTCATTTAGCAGACGCTCTTATCCAGAGCGACTTACAGTTAGTGAGTGCCTACATTTTCATACTGGCCCCCCGTGGGAAATGAACCCACAACCCTGGCGCAGCAAGCGCCATGCTCTACCAACTGAGCTACGGGGACTACACCCCTGTTTCGTTAAAAAGCTGATGGATGGGGCTTGAGAAATGTAACCACTCTCAACTCAAATGTCTTAACTCTAAACTTAAACGACTAAAACCAGGTATAAAGTATGTAGAAAAGATAATGGAGATATTTTAAAAATAAGATCATATTTGAGTCAGGGAAAATCTAAAATAAATGGCATGGCATGGCGCAGCCCGCCATTGACTTTATGTTTGAGTCACTTGGATAGCATAAGAAAACGGCATAAGCAATGCAAAATGTGTAGAATTGCAGGAAATTAGCTTTAAAGGAACTTTCCATTGTTTCCAGATTCCTATGAAATATGACCTATAATTACTTGCAATATGAGTGAAATAGTTTTCCCTCCAAAAAATTGTACACTGAACAAAAATATAAACGCAACATGTAAAGTGTTTGTCCCATGTTTCATGAGCTCAAATAAAATATCCCAGAAATGTTCCATACACACAAAGCTTATTTCTCTCACTTTTTTTGCACAAATGTATTTACACACCTGTTATTGAGCATTTCTCCTTTGCCAAGATAATCCATCCACCTGACAGGTGTGGCATATCAAGAAGCTGATTAAACCGCATGATCATTACACAGGTGTACAATAAAAGACCACTCTAAAATGTGCAGTTTGGCACACAACACAATGCCACAGATGTCTTAAGTTTTGAAGGAGCGTGCAATTGGCATGCTAACTGCAAGAATGTCCACCAGAGCTGTTGCCAGAGAATTTAATGTTAATTTCTCTACCACCTCCAACGTCGTTTAAGAGAATTTGGCAGTACGTCCAACCGACTACACAACCGCAGACCACGTGTAACCACGCCAGCCCAGGACCTCCACATCCGGCTTCTTTACCTGCAGGTAAAGGGTCGTCTGAGACCAGCCACCCGGACAGCTGATGAAACTGTGGGTTTGCACAACCGAATAATTTCTGCACAAACTGTCAGAAACTGTCTGAGGGAAGCTCATCGGCGTGCTCGTAGTCCTCACCGGGGTCTTGACCTGACTGCAGTTCTGCGTCGTAACCGGCTTCAGTGGGCAAATGCTCACCTTCAATGGCCAATGGCACGCTGGAGAAGTGTGCTCTTCACAGATGAATCCCGGTTTCAACTGTACTTGGCAGATGGCAGACAGTGTATAAAGCGTTGTGTGAGTGAGCAGTTTGCTGATGTCAACGTTGTGAACAGAGTGCCCCATGGTGGCGGTGGGGTTATGGTATGGACAGGCATAAGCTACGGACAACAAACACAATTGCATTCAAATCGGTCAATTTGAATGCACAGAGATACCGTGACGAGATCCTGCGGTCCATTGTCGTGCCATTCATCCGCTGCCATGTCGCAAGGATCTGTACACAATTCTTGGACGCAGAAACTGTCCCAGTTCTTCCATGGCCTGCATAATCACCATACATGTCACCCATTGAGCATGTTTGGGATGCTCTGGATTGATGTGTAAGACAGCGTGTTCCAGTTCCCGACAGTATCCAACAGCTTTGCACAGACATTGAAGAGGAGTGGGACAACATTCCACGGGCCACAATCAACAGCTTGATCAACTCTATACGAAGGAGATGTGTTGCGCTGCATGAGGCAAATGGTGGTCACACCATTACATTTACATTACATTTACGTCATTTAGCAGACGCTCTTATCCAGAGCGACTTACAAATTGGTGCATTCACCTTATAGCCAGTGGGATAACCACTTTACAATATGTTTATTTTTTTCTTTCTTTGGGGTGGGGTAAGGGGGGGTAGAAGGATTACTTTATCCTATCCCAGGTATTCCTTAAAGAGGTGGGGTTTCAAGTGTCTCCGGAAGGTGGTGAGTGACTCCGCTGTCCTGGCTTCGTGAGGGAGCTTGTTCCACCATTGGGGTGCCAGAGCAGCGAGCAGTTTTGACTGGGCTGAGCGGGAACTGTGCTTCCACAGAGGTAGGGGGGCCAGCAGGCCAGAGGTGGATGAACGCAATGCCCTCGTTTGGGTGTAGGGACTGATCAGAGCCTGAAGGTACGGAGGTGCCGTTCCCCTCACAGCTCCGTAGGCAAGCACCATGGTCTTGTAGCAGATGCGAGCTTCAACTAGAAGCCAGTGGAGTGTGCGGAGGAGCGGGGTGACGTGAGAGAACTTGGGAAGGTTGAACACCCGACGGGCTGCAGCGTTCTGGATGAGTTGTAGGGGTTTAATGGCACAGGCAGGGAGCCCAGCCAACAGCGAGTTGCAGTAATCCAGAAGGGAGATGACAAGTGCCTGGATTAGGACCTGTGCCGCTTCCTGTGTAAGGCAGGGTCGTACTCTGCGAATGTTGTAGAGCATGAACCTACAGGATCGGGTCACCGCCTTGATGTTAGCGGAGAACGACAGGGTGTTGTCCAGGGTCATGCCAAGGCTCTTCGCACTCTGGGAGGAGGACACAATGGAGTTGTCAACCGTGATGGCGAGATCATGGAACGGGCAGTCCTTCCCCGGGAGGAAGAGCAGCTCTGTCTTGCCGAGGTTCAGCTTGAGGTGGTGATCCGTCATCCACACTGATATGTCTGCCAGACATGCAGAGATGCGATTCGCCACCTGGTTATCAGAAGGGGGAAAGGAGAAGATTAATTGTGTGTCGTCTGCGTAGCAATGATAGGAGAGGCCATGTGAGGATATGACAAAGCCAAGTGACTTGGTGTATAGCGAGTGACTTGGTGTATAGGTGTATAGCGTAGCGAGAATAGGAGAGGGCCTAGAACTGAGCCCTGGGGGACACCAGTGGTGAGAGCACGTGGTGCGGAGACAGATTCTCGCCACGCCACCTGGTAGGAGCAACCTGTCAGGTCAGATACTGACTGGTTTTCTGATCCACGCCCCTACCTTTAAAAAAAAAAAGTCTGTGACCAACCAATGCATATCTGTATTCCCAGTCATGTGAAATTCATAGATAAGGCCTAATTTATTTATTTCAATTGACTGATTTCCTTATATGAACTGTAACTCAGTAAAATATTTGAAATTGTTCCATGTTGCGTTTATATTTTTGTTCAGTTTAAGTATGTTAAAAAGCAGATTTTCTGTGTTTGAATGGTATGGGCGTACCCCTATAACAGAATACCGGTCATTGAAAATATTAATATGAGTATACCGCTTATTGGCCAGCTCATCCTCTTCTAGACCGCTGATTCGCCAGCTCATTCTCCTCAGGAATATGACATCATACTCTATAAGGAAATAGCAAGCATTGAAATGGTCTGTTTTAAGATACAAGTTTGAGGTGGGGTTTTTGAAGTGTTTTTTTTTTTCTCCAATTTATGCTTTGGCCACATACGAGTATAGGACGAGTCAACAACATTATTTGGGTTTGAGTTAACAGAATATGAACTTTTAAAAGTGAGATTTTCACTGGACAGTTACTTTAAAACTGCAAATTTTTTTCTCAGCCCCATGGCAAAATGTGTAGAATTGTAGGAAAATAGCTTTAAACAGCAAAATTGTCTCTGCAGCCAAGAGGAGGGCCTCTAAAATGTTCAGTCGGAGAGTGCACCATTGGCCACCCAAACTATCCTAGGGGAAACACTGCCTTTTCCCCAATGGCTGTCAGTCTGACCAGCTAATTTCAATTTCAATTTAAGGGCTTTATTGGCATGGGAAACGTATGTAGATATTAAACAAAAGTGAAATAAACAATAAATATTAACAGTAAACATTACAAGTGTGCACATAGCCTGTCTTCTCTTGAGAGCCAGGTCTGCCTACGTTTCAAATGTAATTATGTATATATACAGTGTTTTATCAATGTGCAAATAGTTAAAGTACAAATGGGAAAATAAATAAACATAATTATGGGTTGTATTTACAATGGTGTTTGTTCTTCACTGGTTGCCCTTTTCTTGTGGCAACAGGTCACAAATCTTGCTGCTGTGATGGCACACTGGTTTTTCACCCAGTAGATAAGGGAGTTTATCAAAATTGGGTTTGTTTTCGAATTCTTTGTGGATCTGTGTAATCTGAGGGAAATATGTCTCTCTAATATGGTCATACATTTGACAGGAGGTTAGGAAGTGCAGCTCAGTTTCCACCTCGGTTTGTGGGCAGTGTGCACATAGCCGGTCTTTTCTTGAGAGCCATGTCTGCCTACAGCGGCCTTTCTCAATAGCAAGGCTATGCTCACTGAGTCTGTACATAGTCAAAGCTTTCCCTAAGTTTGGGTCAGTCACAGTGGTCAGGTATTCTGCCACTGTGTACTCTCTGTTTAGGGCCAAATAGCATTCCAGTTTGCTCTGTTTTTTTGTTAATTGTTTCCAATGTGTCAAGTAATTCTCTTTTTGTTTTCTCATGATTTGGTTGGGTCTCAATCTCCCATCCCCTCTCTTCCAGAGGACAACTCTCTGCAGTTTGACGGGGTGGACTTTGACGAACCCATGGAGGTGGGGCTTGAACAGGAAAAGGAGGGCCCTGTAAATGAAGAGGAGGAGCCAGAGACCAAACCGGCCATTAAAGTGGAACCCAAAGCAGAACCACAGGACCCGGTCCTACTGTGAGTGTGTGTCTGCTTGCTTGTCTTCTGTTAGTGGTTCTACCATAGACTTAGCTAGACATGGCATCATTGTATCTGTCCATTATGGTGTCTGTGAGAGCACAGGCAGTGCCATTGAGGCCATCTCCATTTTCAAGTAGTCCATTTTCTTCTACTACTTTTATGAGTTGGCAAACAATTTGAAAGGGTGCATACTGTTTGAACATGTATAAAGCCATCGTTGGTGATTCACTGTCACCTGCAGTTATGGAATGTTTGCTCACATATAATTAATTGGCTGATCCCTCCTGGTGACCTGGATGGAATTGTGTTATCCTTCCTTAAACCATAGGAAGTCCCACCAAGTTGACAACTTAAAAATGGTGAAAGTCCACAATGGCACTGCCAATGCTGAAATAGGCTTTTGGGCACTAGAGTTTTCTGTCTCTGTGGGTTATGCTATGAGTCATGGCCAAATACCTTTGTGTGTGTTTACATTAGCGACCGTTGGATCATGGGAACCTTTTTAACCCCTCTGTCCTGTTTCTCCAGGAGGGGCGTGCTGGGGGGGTCTTGGGGTCAGGAGGAGGGGGACAGTGAGGCCCCTGTGGAGGTGCAAGTCGACACCAGCCGTCTCCCATTGGTCGAGGGGCCAGAGGGAGAGCTCATGTTCCGCTTCTATTGGCTAGACGCCTTCGAGGAGCAGTACAGCCAACCAGGTGAGTTCTTACCAAACCAATAGACTAGTACAGCCAACCAGGTGAGTTCTTACCAAACCAATAGACTAGTACAGCCAACCAGGTGAGTTCTTACCAAACCAATAGACTAGTACAGCCAACCAGGTGAGTTCTTACCAAACCAATAGACTAGTACAGCCAACCAGGTGAGTTCTTACCAAACGAATAGACTAGTACAGCCAACCAGGTGTGTTCTTACCAAACCAATAGACTAGTACAGCCAACCAGGTGTGTTCTTACCAAACCAATAGACTAGTACAGCCAACCAGGTGAGTTCTTACCAAACCAATAGACTAGTACAGCCAACCAGGTGAGTTCTTACCAAACCAATAGACTAGTACAGCCAACCAGGTGAGTTCTTACCAAACCAATAGACTAGTACAGCCAACAAGGTGAGTTCTTACCAAACCATAGACTAGTACAGCCAACCAGGTGAGTTCTTACCAAACCAATAGACTAGTACAGCCAACCAGGTGAGTTCTTACCAAACCAATAGACTAGTACAGCCAACCAGGTGAGTTCTTACCAAACCAATAGACTAGTACAGCCAACAAGGTGAGTTCTTACCAAAACCAATAGACTAGTACAGCAACCAGGTGTGTTCTTACCAAACCAATAGACTAGTACAGCCAACCAGGTGAGTTCTTACCAAACCAATAGACTAGTACAGCCAACCAGGTGAGTTCTTACCAAACCAATAGACTAGTACAGCCAACCAGGTGTGTTCTTACCAAACCAATAGACTAGTACAGCCAACCAGGTGTGTTCTTACCAAACCAATAGACTAGTACAGCCAAACAGGTGTGTTCTTACTAAACCCATAGACCAGTGCAGCCAACCGAGTTCGTATTACCAATCAGATGTCCAGGAATCCTCACTAAAACAGCCAAGCAAGTGAGCCCTTCCTAAACAAAGATGTGGCTAAACATGTTAAGATGTGTGCGTGTGGTAATTTTATGGTTATGTAATGTGTGTATTCCAGGTGTGGTGTACCTATTTGGTAAGGTGTGGATCGAGTCGGCCAAGGCCCACGTCAGCTGCTGTGTGTCAGTGAAGAACATCGAGAGGACCATGCACTTCCTGCCCCGCGAACGTGTGAGTCCTGTTTCCTGTCACATGATCATCTACTCCAGAATAGCCACATTTTCACACCATGTTAGACTATTGGGATCAACTGTGACCCAAACTGGCTCTGATGAGCTTTATTAGGGAAGGTTGAAGTTTCCACTTAATGCTGTCTTGAGTGTTTAGGGATTGCTCTCCTGATTGGTTGTGTGTTGTGATTGACAGAAGGTGAACCCAAAGACAGGCGAGGAGACAGACACTCCGGTGGGGATGATGGACGTCTACCAGGAGGTCAATAACCTCTCTGAGAAGTTCAAGATCATGAAGTTCAAGTCCAAGGTCTGTGTGCCGTCTCCCCTAGGACCAGATAGAGAAGGATTAGACTTACAGAATGTCATAGCAGAGACCAGGAAGTAGCCGACACATGGGAACCAATGGTTTCATTTCATGACGTCCTTAACATGTTTATTATAGACACATTGATTGATTGATTGATTGATTGATTAGTTGATAGACTGACTGCTCTCTGTTTCCCTCTGTAGAAAGTGGAGAAGAGCTACGCCTTTGAGATTGCTGACGTCCCTACAGAGTCCGAGTACCTGGAAGTCAGATACTCTGTGAGTATTCTCGCTCGGGCTCTCTCTCTCTCTCTCTCTCTCTCTCTCTCTCTCTCTCTCTCTCTCTCTCGTATATCTTATCCATTGTTATTATATTTTTTTGTGCAGGCTGAGTATCCGTCTCTGCCCTCGGACCTCAAGGGGGCGACTTTCTCCAAGGTGTTTGGAACCAACACCTCCAGCCTGGAACACTTCCTCCTCAGCAGGAAGATCAAAGGACCCTGCTGGCTGGACATCAAAACCCCACGTGAGACTACACACACACACAAACGCTCTCAGAGACACACAGATGCGCACACACCCACACTCACACAAACAAGCAACACACACACCTCTAACACACTAACCCTCTCTCCTGTCTCCCTGTAGAGTTGAGCAGCGTGCCTGTGAGCTGGTGTAAGGTGGAAGCGGTGGCGATGCGTAGTGACCTGGTCACCGTGGTCAAAGACCTGCCTCCTCCACCTCTCACGGTCATGTCCATCAGCCTGAAGACTGTACAGAACCCCAAGACACACCACAACGAGGTCTGTCTCTCTGTCTGTCATAGGTTTAGATCAGGGGTTTTAAACCTTCTCTTGCCCAGGGACCCCCTCCCCAGCAAACCGGCGAGCCATAGACCCCCATCATACCGTAACCAAAAAATAAATATAACATCTTATCAGGTGAATGATAATGGCAAGGACAAGTAATCAACATTTGAAAATGAATAGAGTTGGTAGATAGTTTTTCATTATATTGACCTCCCTACATTATAATTGGAAGAGGAAGTGTAAACTCTAGCATAGCCTGTTAGCTAGAAAGGTAACTCCAAACACATTTTCGCTAAGAGCAGCTGTTTAGCTGGTTAAACAAATGTCAGACGTTTTGAAAAAATGTATGTCCAAGTCAAGAAAGCTTACTTGCCGCACTGGTAGTCTATTCGCGGCTGCTTTTTCAAAGCCTGTCAGATACTCCAGTGAGTTTAATTGACTCAATATTTGGAGTTGAGAAATGAAGTTGACATCATTAGAAAGAAGATATTCTCTTATTTTCTACTGTAGCTACACTACCAGTCAAAAGTTTTAGAACACCTACTCATTCAAGGGTTTTTCTTTATTTTTTACGGTTTTCTACATTGTAGAATAATAGTGAAGACATCAAAACTATGAAATAACACTTATGGAATCATGTATTAACCAAAAAAGTGTTAAACAAATCAGAATATAGTTTATATTTGAGATTCTTCAAAGTAGCCACCCTTTGCCTTGATGACAGCTTTGCACACTCTAAAACTTTTGACCGGTAGTATATGTAATTCAAAATGTGTTTATTCTGTTAAATATATATTTTCGCGGACCCCCTACAGTACCTTGGGGCCGCGAACCCCCGGTTGAACACCCCTTATTTAGATAGGTTAACGGCAGCACAACACTCTCCCCAACCCCAGCACTCTGGATATTGCATCACAGCAGTTTTTAGTCCAGGTGGAACTAACAAGTGGAACAAGTACCCTTTAACTAACCCATAGAATTAAAATTCCAAGAACACATTCCCATTCAGACACTAGAACAGACATTCCCATTCTATGAGATTGACATGGTCTGAAGCGAGAATGTTCCCATTCAATGAGTTATATTGCTACACTCACTGTGAGTAATCTAGTAAATTACTAATTCTATGATTCCCTTGAACAATGGGCCCCATCTCTTATCAAATCAATCAGCCCATAGATAGATAATGCACATTCCAATCAAAATGGATAGTGGATGTTATGGCATGAAGTAAAACACACTGTAGGTCTGGTAGGGATTGTTTGTGATGGTGGTAGAAACTCTGTTACTGCAACGTTTTCTGTGATCTGATGGCCTGTTATGTTAGCTTTGGTTATACCCTCTCTGTGGCACCACAGCCATTACCTCTGTGTTTGCATGTTATTGTTCAAATTTTCCAGCCACTGAGCCGCAAATGGGCTGAAAAGCCACGGTTACACATTAACCCTTCATATCTGAAGAGTCTGGACAAAACAACAGGCCCTAGACTTTGACTTATCCCCCCCCCCCCCCCCCCTCTCCAGGGTTCACATAAGGTGCTTAAAGTACTTGAATTTGACACTCTGAAATTCAAGTACTGGAATACCTTGAAAATCAGACATTTTCTCAAGTTAGTACTTGAATTAAAATGAGGAGAATTATCAAATATGTTTATGAAAAATATTAGAAAAATGTATTGGCCTTCCGAATTCATTTCCAGGCAGACAGACTAGAGTTTTATTTCCTCACGTGTTTCGTGCTGTGGTTGCCAGGCGAGCTCGCTCATTCCACCCACACTGCCACTCAGCCAGGCAGGTTCAGAACTGACTGATTAGGCGCCGCCAAACATCACATCGATGGCTAAAATGCCAGGCAAATGTAGATTCAACCTGCCTTTTGTGCGTATGAAACATTTCTGGGAACTTTTATTTCAGCTCATGAAACATGGGACACTTTACATGTTGCGTTTTATATTTTTGATGAGTATAGCTTACTCACCTTTTTTTACCACTACATCACTGGACCCAACCCATGCCCACACCGTGTAAGTTGCAAAAAATGCTTCAGAGTTTGACATTGCGAGCATGGGTGAATCGGCCCTGAAGAGCCACATGAAGGGGAAAGACACAACGCTGCATCCTGCGCTGGCGCCAGTTCTACATTTATGTGACTTTCTCTGCAACAACCTCCAGACCTTTTTTTTGCCAATTGTCTCATTCACGGGGCGCCCGCGATATTCCGCTTTATCAAGCGGCAACCGTGCTCCTGCCTTTCAGGTGGCCGTTCACGTGCCGTTTTCCTCACACATCCCACCCGCCCTTCTCCCGACCGACGACACTAAAGCTGCCAGTCAGAAGCAAGACACTTTTTCGTAGCTATTAAGTAGTCTATTCCCAAATGCCCAATAAAAACAGTAATTAAGCTGGAGTTGTATAGTAATGCGAATAGGAAATGTGTGTTCACCAGTAGGCATGTCCCAAAACTCTGCTCATCACTACTCAAATTACAAAATCATCATTACTGACTTACGACTCATGTATGTAGTAAATAAGTAGTGAAACAATATATTAGAGTAGAACTTGTAAGGTACTGATGAATATTACGTTTTTATTTCTCTGTCTGTGTGGTGTGATTGTGTGTGATACTGACTCGGACTCATTAGACGGCTATTCTTCTTAGATCGAAACAGTTCAAAATAATTACGGCGATGCAACTGGACTGAACCTTACCTATTATTTCCTGCTTCCTGTCCGTCCCTAGATTGTGTCCCTGGCTGCCCTGGTCCACCACAGGTTCCACCTGGACAAGGCCCCCCCTCGACCCCCCTACCAGACACACTTCTGTGGTGAGTTGGCATCAAAACCTGCAAGGGAGGAGAGGAAGGATGTTGTAGCTTTGTTCGCTGTCTCAAATGTTTGCTGACTCAGTGTTCTGTCCTGTGTGTGTGTGTGTGTGTGTGTGTGTGTGTGTGTGTGTGTTTTAGTGGTCAGTAAACCCAACGACTGTATCTTCCCATATGACTTCATGGATGCCGTGAAGAAGAAGAAGGTGAGTGATGACAGAACAACAACACACTGGTTTCTCTGAAATCCTGTCCATTAGCAGGTGAAGAGTCAGAGCCCTGTTGAAATACTTAGAAATGCTTCCCCCTCCTCCTCTGACTTGATCACTGACCCCCCCCTTTCTCTTCTCTATCTCACCCTCTTTGTCAGAATGGTAAGGTGGAGATAGCAGCCACTGAGAGAACTCTGCTGGGATTCTTCCTGGCCAAGATGCACAAGATCGACCCTGATGTTGTGGTGGTGAGTAGGACGGGAAACTACCGTATTTTCCGCACTATAAGGCGCACTTAAAAGCCTTTAATTTTCTCAAAAAACGACAGTGCGCCTTATAATCCGGAGCGCCTTATATATGGATCAATTGGTTAATTGGTTGATCCATACTGGTTGTACACGGCGCTCAATGCGCTCTGTCAAAATGTTTCAGTATGAAAAACCAATAAAACCAATTTTAATAATAATGAAATGTTTCAGTACGACTGGTAAACTACAAAGCCGCACCGCTTGCAGCATTACGGCTACCGTAGTCAGTAAACACCGGTACTGTGCTTACTCACAGTCCCACACCACTTGTGTGTGTGTATAAAGACCCCAAAATGGCACCTTTCAAGAGACACGCCTACGCAGTAGAATATGGGAATAGAGCAACAGCGAGAGAATTCAACATTAATGAATCAATGGTACGGAAGTGGAGGAAGCAAGAAGATGACCTGCGCCAAGTAAAGAAGACTAAACAGAGTTTCCGTTCAATTCGGACACTGAAGAAGAAGAATTTGAGGGATTCGTGGACGGGGAAAGCTTTACGTGTTATACGTAACTGAACAATGTTGAGTTATGCACTAACGTTTGATTTAGTGGTATCAGACTGTTTCTTTTACTACGTGTTTACTGAATCAGGGAAAAGTTCCCCTCCACGTTTGGGAGAAGAGTGAGCAAGGCTGGGAGATATTGTTAATATGCACATTAACGTTTGAACAACGTTACCATGGGAGTGAACGGAGTTGTCAGAACGCTTAATAAAGTTTGACTTTATCTGACTGTTTTGTTGACATTCCCTTTAGCACAGCTCCATCTAGTGGATGCATAACGCAACCCCAGTCAAACGTTTGACTTCAGTATTTTCTATTCTATGTGCCTTATAATCCGGTGCGCCCTATATATGAAAACAGTTCTAAAATAGGCCATTCATTGAAGGTGCGCCTTATAATCCGGTGCGCCTTATAGTGCGGAAAATACGGTACATACCAGCTACTTATGAGTGACAAGCTACATAGCAGAACCATAAAGCTACAGACCAGCTTCATATGAGATTCTTATGAGTGACTTAATAAGCTAATTGAAAATATAAGCTGCGTAGGAGCTACTTTGATGTCATTTTCATACAGTGTATTCGGAAAGTATTCAGACCCCTTGATGTTTTCCAAATGTTGTAATGTTACAGCCTAAATAGTTTTCCCCCCTCATCAATCTACACACAATACCCCATAATGACAAAGCAAAAACATGTTTTTAGAATTTTTTGCAAATGTATCAAAAAATAAAAAACTGTAATCACTTTTACGTGAGTATTCAGACCCTTTACTCAGTACCTTGTTGAAGCACCTTTGGCAGCGATTACAGTCTCAAGTCTTCACACCTGTATTTGGGGAGTTTCTCCCATTCTTCTCTGCAAATCCTCTCATGCTCTGTCAGGTTGGAAGGGGAGTTTTGCTGCACAGCTATTGTCAGTTCTCTCCAGAGATGTTTGATCGGGTTCAAGTCCGGGCTCTAGCTGGGCCACTCAAGGACATTCAGAGACTTGTCCCGAAGCCACTCCTGCGTTGTCTTGGCTGTGTGCTTAGGGTCATTGTCCTATTGGAAGGTGAACCTTTGCCCCAGTCTGAGGTCCTGAGCGCTCTGGAGCAGGTTTTCATCAAGGATCTCTCTGTACTTTGCTTCGTTCATCTTTCTCTCAATCCTGACTAGTCTCCTAGTCCCTGCTGCTGAAACCATGCTTCACTGTAGGAATGGTGCCAGGTTTCCTCCAGACGTGACACTTGGCATTCAAGCCAAAGAGTTCAATCTTGGTTTCATCAGACCGGATAATCTTGCTTCTCATGGTCTGAGTCCTTTAAGTGCCTTTTGGCAAACTCCAAGCAGGCTGTCATGTGCCTTTTACTGAGGAGTGGCTTCCGTCTGGCCACTCTACCATAAAGGCCTGATTGGTGGAGTGATGCAGAGATGGTTGTCCTTCTGGAAGGTTCTCCCATCTCCACAGAGGAGCTCTGTCAGAGTGACCATTGGGTTCTTGGTCACCTCCCTGACCAAGGCGCTTCTCCCCCGATTGCACAGTTTGGCCGGGCGGCCAGCTCTAGGAAGAGTCTTGGTGGTTCCAATCTTCTTCCATTTAAGAACCATGAAGGCCACTGTGTTCTTGGGGAAATTCAATGCTGCAGAAATGTTTTGGTACCCTACCCCAGATCTGTGCCTCGACACAATCCTGTCTCGGAGATCTATGGACAAGTCCTTCGACCTCATGGCTTGGTTTTTGCTCTGACATGCTCTCTCAACTGTGGGACCTTATATAGACAGGTGTGTGCCTTTCCAAATAATGTCCAATCAATTGAGTTTACCACAGGTGGACTCCAATCAAGTTGTAGAAACATCTCAAGGATGATGAATGGAGCTCAATTTCGAGTCTCATAGCAAAGGGTCTGAATACTTATGTAAATAAGTTTATTTTTTATAAAATTGCAAAAATGTCAAAAACGGTTTTCGCTTTGTCATTATGGGGTATTGTGTGTAGATAGAGGGGGGGGGGGAAATGATTTAATCCATTTTAGAATAAGGCTGTAACGTAACTGTGGAATGAATTATTTCCGAATGCACTGTATATTACGTCTATGTTTACACCTCAGCTGACCTCACTTCTCATCTACTTCCTGTAGGGTCATGATATCTTTGGCTTTGACCTGGAAGTGCTCCTCCAGAGGATCACTGTGTGTAAGGTCCCCCACTGGTCCAAGATCGGACGCCTCAAGAGGTCCAACATGCCCAAACTAGGGGTGAGTACCAGGGACTCGAATCCGGGTCCTCAGAGCTACTCAAGACCATGTTAGCCCACTGAGCTAAAGCCTCCTTCATTATGCTTGCACATGTCACACTCCTTTGCGGTGGCTTTGGTCTGTATCTAGGCCTAGAGCAAAGGATAATGGAGGTTAGAGTGGGTGTTAATGGTCTTCCTCTCTGGTTCCTGTGCTGCGTAGGGTCGCGGTGGCTTTGCAGAGAAGAGCGCCACCTGTGGTCGTCTGGTGTGTGACGTGGAGATCTCGGCCAAGGAGCTGATTCGCTGTAAGAGCTACCACCTGACTGAGCTGGCTGCTCAGGTGCTGAAGACTGAGAGAGCCACCATACCTGCTGAGAACATCAAAAACCTCTACAGGTGTGTGTGTGTGCGCCTCTCCATATGAGTGCTTGGTCCCACAAAAAAAAATCTTAAATTCAGTTGTAAAGGTCCTGGTGTGTGTCTGTCCCTCCCTTAGTGACTCCCCCCACCTGTTGTACCTGTTGGAGTTGACGTGGACGGATGCCAAGCTGATCCTCCAGATCATGTGTGAGCTCAACGTGCTTCCTCTCGCCCTGCAGATCACCAACATAGCAGGCAATGTACTGGTGAGAGAGACGCGCGCACCATTGAATGAAATGCAGAGTAATTCTTAACACATGCCCTCTCCCCTTTCCCTGTCTCTTACCTTTCCTCTCCTCCCTCTCTCTAGTCTCGTACTCTGATGGGGGGTCGTTCTGAGAGGAATGAGTATCTACTGCTCCATGCCTTCCATGACAAGAACTACATCGTACCTGACAAACCCTCCTTCAAGAAGGCCCAACAAGAACTGGTACACACACACACACACACACACACTTACACTTGCATGAGGCCAATGCCAGACCCTTGATTTTGTTTCCTTTGTGTGGTAGCCAGAACCAGGGTAGAGAACTGCACTAAACTAAAGTCTAAACACACACACGGTTTTAGGGATTTTGAGGTCTGGCGTATTCAGGTTTTTGCACTAAAAGGAACAGGAAGCCTACCAATGTAATAAAATATTTAGATTTGCCTATCATCACTCACTCACTGTATGGACCTACTGCAAGATGGACATTCTACATTTCTCTCTTACGTTCACCTCTCCTTTTCTCACTTTCTCTGTTTCTCTCAAAATTTTTCTCGCTCCATCTCACTTTCTCCGTTTTACTTTCTCTCGTGTTCCCTCGCTCAGGCAGAGGGAGAGGAGGAGGTGGATTCGGGGAAAGGCAAGAGTAGAAGAAAGAAAGCAGCATACGCAGGTGGACTGGTACTGGACCCCAAAGTGGGTGAGTCTTGGGGGTTGAATATGCGCATTACAAAATCTCTCAAGTTTCTATTATGATTTTGTAACATTCTGTGTGAATTTCGCCCCAAAATGTCCATGCTGTAACATAAGTAATATGTGGGGAAGTTCTCCTGTCCCTACCTTAAGTGTTGTCTATACACGTCATCATTAGTACTGTAGCAGGGATTGGATTGTTTTGAATTGTTTTTGACATTCCCAGAAATGTAACCACCCTCCCAAATAAAATGGTATTTGTTTGAGGCTACTGTACTCGCTTCCTGCATACTGTCAGAAGTGTGTTTCATAAAACGGATAGTTCTGCTAGGTTTCACATTGAACAAAGTGTATGTAGTAACTATTGGTTTTTACACAGATTTTTTAAATATGAATCATACTATGTACAAAATATTTACAACAACAAAATAATGACAGACGTGTGTCTCTATGAAATACCCTGCTCATCAGAATGCACCCTAGAGTAAGACATTCACCGAAGCAAAGAATTCTGAGTGGCACCAAAATGTATTTTGATGAAATGGTCTGTGTGCAGTAACTCCTATTCACTCCCCATAGGTTTCTATGATAAGTTTGTGTTGCTGCTGGACTTCAACAGTCTGTACCCCTCCATCATCCAGGAGTTCAACATCTGCTTCACCACCGTACAGAGAGAGGCCCACAGCAGACGCAAGAAGACTGAGGTGTGTGTCTTTGTCAGAGAGAGACTCACTTTGTGTGTGTGTGTTATTTGAACAGTACCATTTCTTGTTTCCGTGCCAAAAGGAGGAGGACCCTGATGAGATTCCAGAGGTCCCGGACCCAGACCTGGAGATGGGAATTCTGCCCAAAGAGATCCGCAAACTGGTGGAACGACGTAAACAAGTGAAACAGCTGATGAAAGCACAAGACATCAACCCTGACCTTTACCTGCAGGTACATGCATAACGACTTCTGCAGTCAGGTTTCTCTGTTGTGATTTCAGTTTCAGAAACCCCTGACTTGTTACTCTTAACCCAGACCACACTTGCTTGAAGCTGAAATGCGTAGGTGGTGGCTTTTCTTGAATAACACAGGACTATTTGGGAACTTTTTTGCTTTTCTCTAAATCTCTCTCTCTCTCTCTGTGTGCAGTATGACATCCGTCAGAAGGCTCTGAAGCTGACAGCTAACAGTATGTATGGCTGTCTGGGCTTTAGCTTCAGCCGCTTCTACGCCAAGCCACTGGCCGCGCTCGTCACACACAAGGGCAGAGAGGTGAGTTACGTACTGCTGGGTATACTGTAGATGTGAACGACTGGTCAAGTATGAATGCTGGAGCAAATCCCACTAGAGGGCAGTCCAAGACCAGCCTCACACACACCACTACTCTTTCTTCCATGTTTTTTTCTTCTATTGATAATCCCTTTTTTATTTTTAGCCTTGACAAATGTAATGTATGATTCTGAATACATTTAGTAAATCTTGTTTGTTAGTCGTCTGTGGTTGGACTGTGAGGTAGCAACAGTGTCTGTACTTTTCCCTCTTAGCCTTAGGGACAGGAGGGGATGCTGAAGCATGACACAGTGACATAATGTTCTAATTTTAGTTAGGGGTTTACCTGTAGCTGAACGCCACACACACCACCTCAGCTCTAACAGTACCCACACCTACCTCAGTGGTGTTCCAGTGATCCTCAGGCAGCTGTTTATTGTGATTCTCTTACAGCGGCATTGTGTTCCCTAATAGAGGTCAGTGCTTGTGTGTGTGTGAGACTGTCTGTTTTTGGTGCAGCTCTGTGAGAGTGCGTGACTGATACCATCATTAACAGGTGTGCCATATCTGTAGCCCTGAGCCTTGGGTTTGGGCTTAGCCCAGCTTAATTTCAAACCTCATTCTGTGACAGTAGAATAGATAGGACCAGCCTTAGCCCACGGCTATCCTCTCCTATATAGTTCTGCTTCAGAGCTGAGCTGCCACTTAGTAAGTTATCAGTGATGTACACAGGATTCTCCCCTTCTATAGAATTAGAGTAAGTTCTAATTCTATGGTTAATTCAATCCCTACTCAATGGTATAAACTCCGGAATAGAACACTGAAAATAACCAGTTCTAAGAAGTCACTTTGAAAAGGAAAGACCTTGACTCAGATTAGACTTCTGACTGTTGAAAGCCAAATAGCTCCAAGTTAGTTTCCAGTGATTGGGAGCCAAAAAGGGCAGCTGGGTGTTTGTAGTGTGTTTTCTAGTATATTTATACTTGTCTGAAACCTCATAGCTGTCCTGTATCACACACACACCCATCATCAATTTAATCTTCCCGTTTATGCTTTCCTTTTATAATCAGATTTAGGGCTGTTTATAAATAAACAGTACACGACTCACCACTGACCCAGAATGCTTTGCTTATAAAGGCCTTTTCGCGGCTCCCTTTGTGGTCCCCTCATCGTTTGTGTGTGTGTGGTGTCTCGTCTTTCTCTCATTCTTGTCTAAGCCGAGGCCTAACCCCTCTGAGAATAGCGGGTCAGGCCTGGGGCCATGTTGAGTTCTCAGCCCAGGGAGGGGTTAAGATGCCTGGGCTTAGGAGGGGATGACAGCCCCCTGGCTCTGGATGTTCTTGTCTGATTTACCAGGTTGGAAGGGAAATCTCCCTCCTTCATCTCCAGACTTCTGCCAAGTCCCACCCGCATTAGTGTGTGTGTTTTGTGAGGCAGCGATACAACTCTACTGTCTGAACTCTGGCCTTTGTAGGGAAACATTTGTTGTGTCCCTGTCCCCCACTCCCCCCCCCCCTCCCTGGTATGTGGGGGTATTAGGGGATAGGGAGCATTAAGTGGAAGGGGTTAAGGTTACACGACTCAGGTTCCAGCACAGATGTCCCCAATGTGTTATTTTTGGTTCCTTTGTGTGGTAGCCAGAGCCAGGGCTAGAGGGGAGGGCACACGCATACACCGTTGTAATGTACAATCACATTTGACACTGGTTATTTTGGGTAGGTTAGTGTTAAGGGGGTAACAAAGTGTAGTAGTGAGGAGATAACAGGCGCAGGGTGTCGTGTGTGTGTGTGTGTGCTAATTGAGTGATGTTAACCACTTTAGTCTATGGGAGCTGTTGATGGTTGTGGAATGCTACTTAGTTTGAGCTCTGACCTGTGTGTGTGTGTCTCCATGTGTCAGGGATTCCGTTAGTCGGTAGTAGCTGGCTTTTGGCCGATTTAAAACTGGCACCGGCCAATTGACCGGGAGAAGGGAAAAAAATCCCATTGCAAAATAATGCTTTTTAGCCTATTAATTGATGGAAGTACCAGTTGATGGAAATACATTTGACTAGTCATGCTTATCTGTCTATAGGATAATTTAGTATAATTAAATTGGCACGTGTGTATTTTTCGTTAGTCGTTATGTTGATCACACGCGCATAGCATACAGATACAGAGCCTATGAGCGGAAAATATTTCAGACGGTGCGAGAGTTGCTGCTACAGCTTCTCAAACATCAACTAATTCGTTGCTGCTGGAGTGAAACGTGCTTTTAAAAGCCCAATCATTGTGTAACAATTCTAAATGCAATCCTGTGTTAAAACAGTTTAATGGCCACTATTAAAAAGTGCTACTATTTTTATTTCTCAACTGGTGGCTAATTGAAGCGCCCTTCCCATTCGCCATTCAAGTGCATATAGGCAAAGGTAGGCAGGCTTCAGAGCGCCACACACCACTTTGCAATGAGCTGGAGGCAGTATGCATTTTGAAAACGTATACTTAATTGTTTGAAACCTGAACGTTTTACACTGAACAAAAATATAAATGCAACATGTAAAGTGTTGGTCCCATGTTTCATGAGCTGAAATAAAAAATCCCAGAAATGTTCCATACGCACAAAAAGCTTATTTCTTTCATTACATCCCTGTTAGTGAGCATTTCTTCTTTGCCAAGATAATCCATCCACCTGACAGGTGTGGCATATCAAGAAACTGGGGACAATAAAAGGCAACTCTAAAATGTGCAGTTTTGTCACACAACACGATGCCACAGATGTCTCAAGTTTTGAGGGAGCGTGCAGTTGGCATGTTGACTGCAGGAATGTCCACCAGAGCTGTTGCCAGAGAATTGAATGTTCATTTCTCTACCATAAGCCGTCTCCAATGTCGTTTTAGAGAATTTGGCAGTACGTCCAACCGGCCTTAGAACCGCAGACCACCTGTATGGCGCTGTGCGGGCGAGCAGTTTGCTGATGCCAACGTTGTGAACAGAGTGCCCCATGATGACGGTGGGGTTATGGAATGGCCAGGCATAAGCTACGGACAACGAATACAGTTGCATTTTATCGATGGCAATTTGAATGCACTGAGATGCCATTCATCCTCATGTTTCAGCATGATAATGCACTGCCCCATGTCACAAGGATCTGCACACAATTCCTGGAAGCTGAAAATGTCCCAGTTCTTCCATGGCCTGCATACTCACCAGACATGTCACCCATTGAGCATGTTTGGGATGCTCTGGATCGAGGTTTACGACAGCGTGTTCCAGGTCCCGCCAACATCCAGCAACTTTGCACAGCCATTGGAGAGGAGTGGGATAACATTCCACAGGCCACAATCAACAGCCTGATCAACTCTATACGAAGGAGATGTGTGACGCTGCATGAGGCAAATGGTGGTCACCTCAGATACTGACTGGTTTTCGTATCCACATCCTCCTTTTTTTAATGTACCTGTGACCAACAGATGCATATCTGTATTCCCAGTCACGTGAAATCCATAGATTAGGGCCTAATGAATTCATTTCAATTGACTGATTTCCTTATATGAACTGTAACTCAGTAAAATCGTTGATATTATTGCGTTTATAGATATATATTTTTTCAGTATACTTCATCAATTTATTATGAGGCATGTCTTACCTTGCTTCAATGTAAAATCCGACGTGGAGGCAATTATGTTACTTCCACATGCCATTGAAACCAGTAACCTATTTCTCTCCTGTTCTATTGGTTTTCAAATCAATTTTCTTTCACTGTCCAGTAGCCAAAGGCACAATCCTAGTCGTATTTGCAACCCATGCTAATTGTTGCATCTTTAGATCTCCCCTCTTTCTATATATCTAATGGACATTTTCACCTCTGTCGCATGAAACCGCTCACGTGTGTGGTGCGCTTCTGACAAGTGTTTCACCGCTAATTGCATTATGAACGTACATTCGCGCATAGTCTACTGCCTTGATCTCATTGCAGCGCGTATAATGTGAATAAATAATTGTTTATAATTTTAAACTAAACTTTGTTGCTTAGGCCTACTGGTTGTAGGAATTTGGGATCTATCATCCCGCAACTGTCCCAGAGTCTGTTTGGAATAGGCTATTTCTTTCTCGCACAGAATGACAAGCTGACCAATAGAATAGGTAGGGTAGGTGTACCTATTAAGCCCACCAAAATTTAAGTTTAGACATTTATAACATATACTGCCCTAATTTTTGTAAGACAAGTGGATATAAAATAAATGAAAGATTAATCTCTCATATGAAGTTTTATGATTTGACTTGCATGTTTTAATAAGGCATAAAAATATTTGATGAAATATGTGAGAACCCTGGACTGGGCTTAATGGGTACAGAGTGTACCCTTTAAACCCATGGGTGTTCCAAATAAGCCCACCTCTTTAAATGTGGTCCTCTGTAGCTCAGCTGGTAGAGCACGGCGCTTGTAACGCCAAGGTTGTGGGTTCGATCCCCGGGACCACCCATACACAAATAAATGTATGCACGCATGACTGTAAGTCGCTTTGGATAAAAGCGTCTGCTAAATGGCATATTATTTATTATTATAAATAATAAATTGTAATTAATTTCCAAATGTTCAGAATTTACTAAATGACATTTCTTATGTAAAATGTGATTATATTAATCCCCCTTAAAGTTATTAAAATAAACTGATCATTGCTATACATCATGAAAGTAGCACTTTTAACAGGGGGGTGTCCAATCGTGTCCACAGAGATCCATGTGGACATAGGCTTTTTTTCTTGCCAACCAGTACACACCTGATTCAACTAATCATAGTCTTCAATCAAGACTATGATTAGTTGAGTCCGGTGTGTTATTGCTTGGTTAGAACACAAACCTGCACCCACACTGGTCCTCTGTGGATAAGAAGCCATGCAACAAAGACATAACACACAACTTTCAATGAATTTTCTGTACTGCTATTCCTGTTAAGTAGATTAACTTGTAGAGGTCTGTAATTTTTATCATAGGTACACTTCAACTGTGAGAGACGGAATCTAAAATCCAGAAAATCACATTGTATGATTTTTAAGTAATTAATTTGCATTTTATTGCATGACATAAGTATTTGATACATCAGAAAAGCATAACTTAATATTTGGTACAGAAACCTTTGTTTGCAATTACAGAGATCATACATTTCCTGTAGGTCTTGACCAGGTTTGCACACACTGCAGCAGGGATTTTGGCCCATTCCTCCATACAGACCTTCTCCAGATCCTTCAGGTTTCGAGGCTGTTGCTGGGCAATACGGACTTTCAGCTCCCTCCAAAGATTTTCTATTGGGTTCAGGTCTGGAGACTGGCTAGGCCACTCCAGGACCTTGAGATGCATATTTTAAATTGGGAATAAATAGTAATTGATGCTCATGAAATATGCTATCATGTCCATATATCAGCACATTATATAAAGTATGATCACTTAAGAGACAAATTATCTGAGAAGGTACAAAAAACATTTTAAATGTGTTTTTCTTGGGGTTAGCCTCAACGCCAATGTTTTTTTTGCAGCTTTGAAATTGGCCACTAGTGGGAACTTACACATAATTGTCAATAACTTAATAATAAAACATCTGATTTGGTTTATAATAAAATAATGAATATAACAACTAGATGAATTAGTTGAAACATTAAATAGAAGAACATTTTTGTTTTTTTTATTTCAATCCAAAGATGGAAGTGGGCTTAATGGGTAAGCTTACCCTAAACTTTTCTAGTATGGGGGATGTTAGATTGACATTGGCTAGTGATTTTGCTGTTCGTTACTCATCTTCTTGGCTGAGGTAAAGTAAATGTGGTAGTTATTCTAACATCTTCAGAGTGCATGTTGGAATTCGGTAAGAAGGACGCACGCAGTTGCATCCTCGAGTTGCATGTTCTGTTAAGACTAAGAACCGTAATCTAAATGTGATTTCTGTCATTCTGAGCACTGTGGGTGGACACCCTAATCAGGTCACGTACCCAATGCATATGGGTACGTTAAATTCAAATGCTGCCGGTCAAATGTCCGGCGCTGCATTTTCCTAACGGAAACCCTGCTGTGTAGGGCCATATTTCAGGACTGCGGAGGACACCTAAAACCCATTATGTTGTAATTGAGTCCCTGACTGTCCTTGTTTAAAAACAGAGAGACGCCTGTAACTTACATTAGGGAGGTCAGCGGGGAAGGTGGAAGGAACGGCCAGGGTCATAGGTGAGGACAAAGGGCGTCGAATGAAAGGAGAGGCATGGCGCTAAGGCTAGGGGATTGTTGTTATTAGGGGTGTGCACGTTTTAAACTTCAAAAAGTTTGGGATCCTTAACGTTAAGAAAAATGCCTAACAAATGTTTTTGTTTTTTTAAATGTACAAAATTCAAATCACAGTGCAGTTATCACGGAACATGTTATTTTCCGTGTTATAGCCTAACTAGATGAT